TGCTGGCATCGGTAGGTCTGGCCCTTGCCAACCCAAGGAGCCCGTTACGTGCTGCAGTCCTGGAAGATGACAGCCCTTGCAGCCCAGGGTCAGGACAGCAGATGCCCCCAGGGGTCACCCCCTTTCCCACAGGGAAGGGCAGGATCGGCCCCAGAGTACCTGCGAGCTGGCAGGCAGGGAACCCTGCCTAAAGCGATCCCACCGCTCCTTCGGTGCGTACGCACCCCGCACTCCTCCTTCCCAGCATCCACTTAGTGGCCTGGTTGCTTCTCAAAGCTTTTTATATTTCACATTCCTAAGATTTAATTATGTTATCAGAACAACAGGCATCAGGATTCGGAGTGCCAGAATTCACATTAGCAATTGCTATCAACAAAGAAAATGGGCACAGCATGCCCATGCCAGAGTAGATGTGGGCTGCTCTCCTCCATCTACTCACGGTTATTTATAGCCTGTTTGCATGCCATCCACCTCCCAGGTTTAGCTTCAAGCTCGCTTCTCTCTGAGTGCCCTCACCCTCAAAGAAAAGCCTTTTGCCTCCCCCTTCCCTAGCACAGCACCCAGATTTAGACATATTTAGTTAATTTGCTTGGGCAGGGAGGATAAAACACCTTTGAATCTTCTTCCGCACATCCACAACAGCAGCAAAGAGTGAAAACGGAGCATGCCACAAACAAGCAGCTGCAGGGACACCCACCCCGGAATGGTAGAAGTTAAAAAAAATAAATTTAAAAAATTATATATTTATAAACACTTGACCACATCGGAGCAGGACTGCCGCGCGTCTCCAGCAGCTTTCTGCCCTTCCCGCAGACAGGGATGGAGGCACAAGCCCCGCGAAGCAGGACCATGCTTCAACGCAAGAAATACCTACCTATTTTGAGCTGATTGCAAAGAAACAGCTATGTGATAGTAGAAGGGGAGATCGAGCTGTGCCTCCACACCAGCATTAACTGTGATTTGCCCATCCCTCAACCGCCACCGTTTCAAGGCAGTCGGATGCTGCCAGGATCCTTCGCCTCCAAATAATTAAGAAACACAAGATGCAGTGCGTGTAGTACAGGTGCAAACCTACCCACCAGCTTATTTTCCTCCCCTGAGCAGCAGCTGGCACTGGCAGCTTCCGTCTTCTTCCCCCTAATCCCAGCTCCTGTCAAATGAACCGAAGCTCAAAGGCAGCAGGAGCTGGGTCAGAACATCACGCAAGCTAGCCGACGTGGCTTTGGTCAGCCTGATGGCACTGGGACGCCAGCAGGCACCAGTGCCCTTTGCTGGGCTGTCCTCGCACGCCCCATCACTTCTGCATCCAGGGGCTCGTCACCCGGTCCCCAGCACCCGCCTGCAGCTGTAAAGCCACATCGCTCGGGACAGGGCTGGTCCCAAGCTCGCTCAGAGCATCGGGGGGAGAGCTGAGCCCGTCCCAACCTCCCCGACACTCCGGTTAAAATGAAGAAATGGTGGTGGCTTTAGTCCTGCCCAGTGACTACGGAAACGCTGGGTCAGGCTCTGACTGAGACACGGCCGCTCCTCACACGTCTGAAATTCCCCGTGGCCCTGAAAAAATGGAAGAAATATTAGAATATATAATAATAATAATAAAATAGCATAGTACAGCCACCTGTAAAATATTAATAATAATAATGAATTATAAGCGCCCCAAACACCACACCCCTTCCACTACAGGGAGGAGGAGGAGGCTCAAGCTTACAACTCTAGCACATTTTATTTTGTGTAAATTTATAAAGACAACAATCCTAGTCACGATTGTCACATTGTACAGCACATACCGATACAGCTGCAAACAGAACTCCACGCAAAACTAAGCGCTAACAGTAGCTTGAATCACTCTTCCTGCGATTGTCGTATCTAGACTAACAGTATTACACTAACACTGAAGAAAAAATAGTTCACTATAAAACAGTGATAGAACGTTTTTATAAAATATATTCCATTCCAATAGCTTTTCTACATACTGTATACTATAAAACTCTCCCACAAAAATTAGTGTCTTTAAATATACATATTTAATCTGAACTGCACCAAGATTAAAAACAATTAAAAATATCAATTTTTTATTTTTTTTTTACATTAACTTCACAGTATTTGTTTGTAGTAGAAGACAAATCCAGTGTTTAAAATGCGGAGCAGGGCTGTCCCCTACAGAGACAGCGACCGCCCCGCAGTGAAACAGTTTATGAACAGACGAGCGTAAGTGTGCAATGTTTTTAGTACTTCTCTGTAGAGCCATGAACCATTTTGAAAACAAGCTCCGAGCTATTGCAACTTAAAAATAAGAGACACACACAGAGAGATAGCCAAAAAAAAGTCACCTTAAGAACAAAAATAAGTGCAAACATTTTTTTTTTTACTTTAGAAATTCAAGCTACGAGGAGTGGGAACACAAATACCAGACTGCAAGAACAGTGTGTTCATGATGTGGTAAAGAATGAAAAAGTATTTTTTTTTTTTTTTTTTTTTTTCCTCCTTTTTTTTAAAAAAAACCCCAACTTCTGCCCTATATTCACTGCAGTACAGAGCATGCTCACAGCATCAGTTTAATGAATTATTTCTACACTAAGATCAGACACAAACTTGTTTCAACTTTTCCCTGCTCCATACTCTAATGATGTTCTTATGGCACATCCTATTTTATGATCATCAAGAAAAAAAAACAAACACAAAAAACTAACAGTGACTGAAATGCAAAAAAAGTGTCAAAAGAATGCAAAATTAAGATTACCAGCTTCAGTAGTGCTGACTCTACATTAAACTCTTTACATGTTGTTCAACATGCAAAACCCAGTTATAAAATTTAAAGTGAAGTGTAAATTATCTAGTTTTGAAATACATTAACAGTAATAATTCCACTTCAAAAAAAAAATCTAATAAATACTATATCAAGTATCCTCAGGAGAAAAAAAATAACTTAATTTTAGTAGAAAGAAAAATAACTTAATTTTAGTAGACTTTGTTCAGTGCTATTTCCAATCACAGCAAAAAGTAAAAAAAAAAGATTAAGTAGAATAAGACCACAGTACCAAAGCCACTTATGTTCAAGATACAGTACTCTCCCACAACTTTCATATGTAACAGGTTCAGCAAAAATATTTTACAGTCAAGAAATGAGACTGAAAACAACAAAACCCAGAACTATAAATAGAAGCAAAATTTCACATTACATGTACATTCATAGTTTAAGAGATGAATAATAAGAGGAGGCTGTAACAAGTATATCCTGATTTTCTTTAAAAGAGGAAGTACTTCTTTTAAAAAAAAAAATACAAAAAAAAAAAGAATCCTGTATTATTTATGTAGGTAGTGCTCAGTTTTTGGACCAGAGGGGGAAGGCATCGGGAATTTTTTTCTTCATAAGATGAAATACAGTATTTTAAGCACAACTTCTTCAAATAATCTAACTCAGTGCTTCAAATTCACTTTAAAATAAACACTTAAGTTTCACAAAAGAACTCCAGGAGTGTCAGGAAAGCTGGTGAAGCAACGCTAACGCAGCAGAACCACGTTCAAAACCCTCAGATAATGTTATTATTGTATTTCAGTCCCGTGTACCTGTACCTTGAATGGATTGTTTGACTGGAAGGGAATAATCTGATATTTACCGACATGCACAGACCAAAGGATGCTCGATTAGGCAAACAATTGAGTTATTTGGAGTAAAACTGGTTATAGTTACAGGCAGCCTCAGTTTACAAACTCAAAAAATCCCACCTAAACATACTCCAGAAACCTCTCCTGAAAAGGTGGGACATGGGGGAAAAAGCCGGGCCATGGTTTCCCTCCAGCAGTTTATCTTCATCCCGTCCCTTCCAAACACAGGCGATTGCACAGAATTTGGCCCAAAGGGAATCACCAACTTCATTAAAAAAAATAAAATAAAAAAAAAAAAATTCCGAGCTGCTGATTTTCGCACAGCGGTAAACTTTTTGGACAAGCCAGCAGGGCATCACACACGCGGTCCGAGTTCCCCCGAGCGACGACCCCCCAGGAGCCCGACGCTGAGCCTCAGGGCTGCCGTCCCCACCAAGGGGGACGGGATCGGCCCCTGGGTGTCGATAAGGGAATGAAAACATTCACGGACCGTACAACTTCTCACATGTCCTAGCGCGCATCCTTCAGCACTTCAGGAGTGGATACGCTGCAGACAGAAAGACTTTTTCCATTCATGCTTTATGCTCAACAGTAGCTTTTCGGTAGGTCAGTCCACGGAGGAGGATGGGCGGGAAGGGAAGACTGAAAAACTTCTCGTTCAGATTTCAGGATCGATTGCAGAACTATTCTAATAAGGAGAATAAAAAAAATGACCAGTACCAAAGACGCAGCCAGGAATCCTCAACCCCCTTTACAATTGGGGCCAATTTAGGGTCTCGTCTAGCTCTACGGAATAAAGAGTACGGCCGCTTACTCTGTGATCTGCAGACAAGCTTCTCTACACTGAAATGTATTTAAATCACAGTTCATCTCTTTGGATGCTTCTACACAACATGCAGAGAGCATTAGGGGAGCTTAATGGAATCCAAATTTTTCTCCGGAATTTGCTGATTACCTTTTCTGAAACTAAAAAAAACAAAACCAAAAAACATCAAAAAAAACCCAAATGAAAACAAAAAACTCTGACCACGAAGCAAGTACTTCTAGCATGAAAACAGATGCTAAATCACTGCAGAATTACTTAGATCATTTCACATTAATAATGTAACATGGGTGCGCAACAGAAGACCTAAAGGACAGTGCTGGGAAGGGAGGGTGCCAGGGGAAGGGGGAGATGGAGAGGTGGAAGGATTGCATTAAAAGGCCTCTGGAGTGTATACCTCTGCATCTTTTAAAGATCATATACCTGAAGTGAATATCACCAAAATAAAATAAAGAATGGGGGGAGGAGGAATAAAATTCAGATGCTGCCTTTTTTTCCTGTTTTAAAAGGGCGGGAGGAAAACAAAAAAAATTTTTAAAATTAAAAAAAAAGAAAAAAAAGATCGCACATCTTAAACCACCAAGGACTTTACAAGGCCACAATGAAATTTGCGGATGTGTCTGTACAGATCCCCAGACTGCGTGAACCGTCTCTCGCACCACTTGCACCCGTGGGGCTTCTCCCTGGTGTGCACGACGGCGTGGCGGCTGAGGTTGTGGGAATACTGGAAGCTCTTCCCGCACTGGCCGCAGGTGTAGGGCTTCTCCCCGGAGTGAGTCCTCTCATGCCTCTTTAACGTGTACATGCAAGAGAAGGTCTTTCCGCAGAGGGTGCAGGTGGGGACGGACCCGTCGGGGGACAGGCGGGCCCGGGAGCCGTCCTTGTCACGGAAGTGGGAGCTCAGGTGCAGCTGGAGGATGTGCGGGCTGGGGAACACCTTGCTGCAGAGCGGGCAAATGCAGATATGCCCGGGAGGCACCAGGACGCCCGAGGAGGAGATGTCCGACGAATCCATGTCGTCCTCGCTCTCATCTCGCTCCTGATCTACGTCCTCCTCTCGGGCGTGAGAGCTGCCATTCCCTGCGAACATGTGTCCTAACCCTGTCACTAGGCTTTTGGCTGAATTCCCAAAATGCTGACTCTCCGGACTCCTGGCTTCGCTGTCCTCCTGATCTGACAGCAAGTCTTGTTCGTCTTTAACAAGTGGCTCGGTACCCTGCTGCTGGCTGTCGGAAGCCAGCTGTCCAAAGACATAGGAGGGGTGTAAGGAATCTCTCCCCGGCACGGGCTTGAAAGACAAATCCAGCGCGCAGTCCGCATCACTCGAAGCCAGGGGATGGTTAACAGACCTTTGGGACAAAGGTCCTGTGGAACTATTGACATTAGCCTTTGTTTTTCCAGCTGCCGCGGCGCACGGTTCTGCCTCCGCCGGCACAGAGCTGACACTTATACGATCAGAGGACCAGGCGGGATGACTGCTGACCTTTTCTTTGCCTGCCGCTCTCTCGTATTCTGCAACGCTGAATTTTTGTTTGTTTCCTGGGTCAAACTCGTGGACCGGGGGCACCCCGGCGTCTAGAAAATGCTCCGCTTTCTCCAAACTGGCCGCCTCATCGTTAATCTTCTCTTCCGAACACAGTTCTTTATCTTTCAACTTGCCCTTGCAGACTTTCACAATGTCATACATGTGAAGGTAGCTAGCCGCAGCGAGCACGTCTTCCACCGGGAGGCTGTTGAATTCCAGCTTTCCCTCGTACATGAATTCCAGCAGCAGGCTGAAGGCAGGGGCTGTGACAATGTCACTGTTCAGATGCACAATATCCCTTTTGTCTAACTGGTCCCTGTAGAAAAGATGGAAGTACATACTGCAAGAGGCAAGAACGGCTCTGTGCGCTCTGAAGCGAGCTTCTCCAACTAAGACAGTACAGTCACACAGGAAGCCCTGGTGACGCTGCTGACTCAGACACTGCAGCAACTGGCGGCTATGGTCTGGAAACTCCATTCTTCCTTCATAACCTGTTCAAAACAGGAAAAACTTGAATGCTACTGTAAACTAAAGCCTCCTAGCAGCTGTAACAAACAGATCGGCTTTTTGGTAACACAAACCAAAGAAGCAGCCTTGGAGATAACGTTTACTGTTAATCGTCTGTAATAGTTTTATTAAGGGGAGGGGGCAGAGGAAAAAAAAAAACACAACAAAACAAACCACCACAACACAGCGTGCTTCTCATCCTCTCGCACCTGCTCCGAACAGGAAAAACTTGACGGTAAGTAAACAGAAGCTAGCAGAGCTGCAGCCCCTCCAACCTTTGTTTCTCCCACCAAGCACTTTAATAAAAATTAAGAGGGTGGAAGCGCGCGCAAGTAGGAAAAAACAAAAGCGGCGTAGAACTCCCAGGCTGTCTGCCCAGCAAGGCGGACCCGGGACACCTTTTAACCCAGCGTACCCCCCGCGCCACGCACAGCCATGCACGCACGTTTGAACTTCATCCTCAGCCGTTACGCGCCCACCCGCAACACAACGGCCGGG